TGTTCTGGTTCTAAAATGGTTTGGGCAAACAGACTGAGCTGTCAGGTTTGGGTGTTTTGGTTCTAAGTGACTTTGAATTCCTCTTTTCCTGCCTTTTTGTTCTGCTTTAACAACCTTAACACAGGGAGCTACCTTCTGCATCCAGGTTTTTCCTGGAGAAGGAAAACTCCATGCAAAAACACTCACAGGAGAAGGTGAGGCCTTGGGAAGAATTTTCAGCAGATCTTTTATGAATTTTTGCTCTTTTAGTTGGGGAGGTTTGGCTCTGGCTGCATTTTTTGCAGTTACAGAGCAGGATTTTGAACAGAATCCTTGGAATTAATTATCCCTCCCTTCCTTCCCTTCTTTGGGCAGTGCAGCTGCCAGGGGTGAGGACAATTCTTCAGCTCTGCCCTGCCTTGAAATTGTTCCTCTCACCTTAAAGCTCACCTGGGTTTGCTGCTCACAAGTTCAGGCTTCTCCTCTCCCTCCCTGTGCCCGCCCAGTTGGGCACTGGGACGGGCACCCTCTGAACTGGGAGGAGGGAGCAGCTGACACCAAAGAGCTCAGGACAAATTTTCCCTTCCCAGGACATTTTGGGCATTTTCACTGGCAAATTTGCCAGAAAGGGCTCTACATTTGGTTCTTTTTTTCCTTCATTATTTATGTTCCAGAGTTTATAACCTGCTCCTTTTGGCAATGTCCCCAAAGTGGTGTCCAGTTCTTTTACCTGGCTGATAAAAGTTGGCGTCACTGGCTCAGAGGTACAAGATGGAATTTTTGTTCTGTGCCCAAATGAGTCACGGCTTTGGGGAGAAAAAAAATCATGTAAGTGTCAGATTTTTAAAGGCAATTGGGCATTTAAGTGTGTGAGGAAGAACAGAGCATTCTAATGATTTTTAAATAAGTGGAATTAAGTGCCCACTCTTAGGAGAAATCCCACCAGAACTGTGATTTTGTTTTGTGTTTGCTCTTTGCTTGGGTACCTGCCTGACTTGAGTTTTTAATTTTCAGAGGCAATTTAAGGTTGTCTCTACCTTGCTTTTTTAAATGAGGATCATCTCTTCAGGTTAATTAGGTGCTTTGGGAAATGCCTCTAATGTGTTTTAAACTGGAGGGTTTAAAATGGGAATAGGAAAATCCATAACGATGATCTCTCCACACCACAAATTACAGCAATTTCTGCCCAATTCATGGTTTGGAATAAAATCTCAAAGTTAAAACATCCAAGAGGACACAAAACCTAATCCCATTTCAGAGCCAAGCTCTTCAAAGCTGCTGTGAAATTTCGAGCCTTTGAGGATTTTCAGTTTTTCTCCTTGGGAGAAATGTGTTCAACACTTGTTTTCTGGAGCTTTTAATTAAAATTTATCGTGCTGTGATAAATTCCTTTAAAAATGTGACAGGCTTTAATCCACATCAGGGGCAGAGGGGAGCAGGCAGCTTTGATTTCAGTGGATTATTGGATTAGGAAAGGACACAGATTCCAGGGAGAGCAGCACTTGCAGTGACAGCGCCCCAGATTTTCCTCTCCTTATTTATTTTTACCATTGTAAATGGAAATAATTTTAAATCTGTAATTTAACTGATTTTTTTATATAGTGAAAATATTCCTGACCTGCTTCTGCTACCTTCTTTTGATTATTTTTATTTTAATTAAGAACTTGACCTTATTTTTACTCTTGTAGACCAAATCCTGTGGACCAGGGTAAGCTTTTCCAAAGACTACAGCAGGGAGGAAAAATAAACAAATAATGTGATTTTATGGCTGTTGAAAAGCACGAGGTTCACTTGATTCTTCTCTCTGACCATTAATTAAAGCACTTTTAGGACAGTTTGGGCACTACAGGGGTTACTCAAAGGGTGTTCCCACCTTAACCCATTTTTCAGGTCCATGTGGTGCTGGTTTGTGTTTTTAGGTAGAGGTGGAAATGCCTCAGCTCCAAATTCACCCCAATGTACACTGAATTAATTTTTCTCACTGTGGTATTACAAAGGTTTGATCACTCTAAACCCTGGGACGTGTTTGTTCAGGACATGAATTGAGGAGTTTTTGTGTGTTCTGGGATCCTGGATTGGTGATTCCATCACAAACCCACTTTTGCAGCGTGTAAATAGGATGTTTGGTGGGGGTTTTTTCAGTCCTTTGCAACTAAATCAATAAAAATACAGCTTTAAAGTGGCTCTGGGGAGGGCAGGAGCTGTGGGAAGGGGCTGCAGCTCCCTGGGTAAATGCCACACGATTCACTAAACCTGTAAAGCAAGGTGTACACATCTTTGTGGGTTTTTAAAATGTAACGATGGTTGTAAAGTTTGTAAATACATTTTTAAAATAAATGTAGCTTTTATGACTGAACCAGAAAAAACAAGCAGGAAAAGTCTTTCTTCCATGGACCAGTGGTGGACACAGGAGTTAATTCCAAACGTGAGTTTATTCTTTTACCAAAGTTTCCGTGTTTTACCCAGAAAGGAGTGAGATGAAGCCATGGTTTTGTCTGGACACGTGAAACAAAATTTGTCACATCCAAATTGTCCCTGCAGGACTCAAAGCAGACTCTGCTGCTCCCACTCTGGACTGGGATGTGTTCTATTTTACATAAATAATCTACACAACAATTTTCCACCATTTTAATGCCATTTCAGAGTATTTATTCACATATTGATCCAAGCAAAGACCGTTTGAGGAGGAATTTATTTTAACACAGTTTTGAAACCTCACTCTGGCTCTGTGGCTCCATTTCACTTCAGAAATTTTTAAATATTCTTTCTTCTGCCTTCTCCATCCACCAGCCTCTCCTGTAACACACACCAAATTTGGGGTTTAAAGAGCAGAAATGACTTTGAGGATGGAATTTTCAGGTGCTCAAATACCACAGAGGTGAAGCCCCGGGGTGATTGGGATGGGCTGGGTGAATATCTGGGGTTTGTTCCCTGGAGTGCCTCAGGGAGGGGGAATTTTGTGCTCCCTCCCATCTTCCCCAGGAAATGGTGATAATTAAATTGAGTTTTTCCATGGGGTGGAACATTCCCAGCCACGCCCCTTTTTTTCCCTGTTTAATATTCCTGTAGCAGCGCCAGGATTGTGTTGGGCTGGAAAAGCTGGGTGTGGGAAAAGCTTCATTTGTTTTCAGTGTTATGAGCAGCAAGGAAGGAGAAGTTCCTGAGCAAACCTGGTGGGGTTTGGTCCTTCCATCTCTGCCAAGACAAGGCAAGTTTCCCTGGGTGAGCCAGAAAGACTCATTTCAAATATCCTGCTAATTATTCTGGTGTGTTTTCCTGCCCAACATCATCTCTTGCAGTAAAAAAAAATACTTGACTATAGTAAATGACTGCTGCTGGCTCTTCACTGTGCAGGCAGTGCTGCTGGAAGTCATGGGCCACAACTCCAACACATGTTCAGTACAAGCAGGATTAAAGATGAGCTAAAATTGTATTTATTGGGGTAGTTTCTGCATGGAAATCCAGTGGAATTCAGGCTCTGCATTCCTGTTCCTGACTTTATGAGCCTTTTCAAGGCCTGACTCCTCGGTGAGTCTGGAGAGGCTTTCAAGCACTCAGAGCTTTGGGGCTTGGCTTCAAATCCAAAGTAAGCGGAGATTGATCTTTTGGGATGGCCCAGGGACACTTCCCAGGAAATGGTGCCCATCTGGCCCCATCGGGCTGTTGCTGGGTTAATGAAAAAGCAGATTTTTGCCTGAGAAGCTGGCTGGGTGTCAGTGAACTCGGAGATGAGGTCTGTGCTGTCACTGCTGTGCAGCAGCTCATGGAAATGCATTCCCAGCCTGGGGACCCTGGGAGCTGCAGCTTCCATCTGGCTGTGCCCTGCAGCGGCGGGGACAGAGCAGGGACAGAGCAGGGACAGAGCTGGGACAGAGCAGGGACAGAGCTGGGATAGAGCTGGGACAGAGCTGGGACAGAGCTGGGACAGAGCTGGGATAGAGCAGGGACAGCAGGGACAGAGCTGGGACAGCAGGGACAGAGCTGGGACAGAACAGGGACAGCAGGGACAGAGCTGGGATAGAGCTGGGACAGAGCTGGGACAGCAGGGACAGAGCTGGGACATCAGGGACAGAGCTGGGACAGAGCTGGGACAGAGCAGGGACAGAGCTGGGATAGAGCTGGGACAGAGCTGGGACAGAGCAGGGACAGCAGGGACAGAGCTGGGACAGAGCTGGGACAGAGCTGGGACAGAGCTGGGACAGAGCTGGGACAGCAGGGACAGAACTGGGACAGAGCTGGGGCAGGAACAACCCTGGGATGGGAACAGGGACAGACCTGGGACAGGGACAGCCCTGGGACAGGGATAGGGACAGTTCTGGGACAGGGACAGGGACAGTTCTGGGGCAGGGACAGCCCTGGGGCAGGGACAGGGACAGTTCTGGGGCAGGGACAACCCTGGGATGGGAACAGGGACAGCCCTGGGACAGGAACAGGGACAGCTCTGGGACAGGGACAGGGACAGTTCTGGGACAGGGACAGGGACAGCTCTGGGACAGGGACAGGGACAGCTCTGGGACAGGGACAGGGACAGTTCTGGGACAGGGACAGTTCGGGGCAGGGACAGGGACAGCTCTGGGACAGGGACAGGGACAATTCTGGGACAGGGACAGGGACAGTTCTGGGGCAGGGACAGCCCTGGGACAGGGACAGGGACAGTTCTGGGGCAGGGACAGTTCTGGGACAGGGACAGGGACAGCCCTGGGACAGGAACAGGGACAGCCCTGGGACAGGGACAGGGACAGCCCTGGGGCAGGGACAGGGACAGCCCTGGGACAGGAACAGGGACAGCCCTGGGACAGGAACAGGGACAGCCCTGGGACAGTTCTGGGGCTGCTGTGGCTGCGCAGGGAGCCGGGGAGGGCTGGGCTTGCTCTGGGTGAATTGAGGCAGGAAACGCCACTGCTCCAAGGGCAGCTTTGCAATGATGGGTCCCTGGACTGGGAGTGTCCAGGGAGGATTTTGGAACGGTGCAGGTGACAGTGAGGGACCTCTGCAGGGATTTTGATCCAGTGGGAGGTGTCCCTGCATGTGACACAAGGTGGATTTTAGGTCCCTTCCAGCCCAAACCATCCTGGGATTCCATAGTAAGGGCAGAGCCAGTATTTCCTGATGTGAACTAAACTTTACTCCCTCTTCCTCCTCCACCACCCTTTTTTTTCCCTCCCCTCATGTATCTTCTCTAAATTTCCCCATAGTGATGACAGAAAAAGCACATTACTCACCATGGCTTCCTTCAGAGCCCCCCTCCTGGAATTCTGGTAGGAGCCTGGGCACGCGCTCTGCTGCTCCTCCTCTAATTTCTCCATTTCATTTGCAATCTGGATTGGAAAAGTGACCCGAGGAAGTGAGACAACCTTCAGGAAGGGAGAAGGGAGATTGTTCTGCCAAAAGCAATTCTACCCCAGTTACAGATGGAGGTGAAACTACAACTGCAATTGTGGAGTGGAATGTTTCAGTGCACAAATGAAATTCACCTTTTCCCCACCAGCCCCAGGATGCTGAAATAAGGAACTAGACATGAGGTATGGATTGGAAAAGAGGGGAAAACCACTGCTGGACAGAACCTTCCACACGTGCTTGTCATTTAATGCTGAGCATCCACCACGTGCAAATTGCCAAAATGTTAAGGGAAGTGGAGGAATTATCATAAAATAACCCATCAGAATGTTGGAATTTAGGGAGAGGATGAAATCAGATTTAACCTGGACCTCAGAGCTCCACCTCTCCCTTGGAGCTGTCTGTCCAAATTATTCCATAATGCTTCAGTGAAAGTTCAGAGATTTTAACACAGTGATTATGAAAAATTATCTCAATACAATCGTTTTACTTCTGCCAGCTACAATGTTCCATTATTTGTGCCAGGGTAAGTGGTGGCACCTCACCTCACCCCTGTTTTTCCAAATCCTCCTTCAACCAATGCCTTTATCCCCAGATGTGGGGATGTTTGGGGGACAGCCACGGGGAGAGGTGTAGAGGGAAGCCTTTTGTCACCTTTTTGGCTGCATTTGTTGCAGGCTGGGGTTGTTTCCCAGCCCAGGACCCACCTCCTGGAATGGTCCCAGCAGGAGCTGGGTGCTCCTCTTGCCCCCTGGCTGGAGGCCGTAGGACCAGTGCTGAGCCAGCCCCAGCCCCACGGCCAGCACACACAGCAGGACAGTGGCCACCATCCTCCTGGGCTTCTCCATCCTGCCAGAGACACAAAAGCACCTGGCTGCTCACAAAGCCATGGCAGCTCCATTTGCACCTTGCAGAGGGATGGAAATGAGGCACTTCTGAGACACAGAATCATGAAATGTGCTCAGCTGGAAGGGACTCCCGAAGATCAGGGAATTCCAGCTCCTGGCCCTGCACAGATACCCCAAAAATCCCACCCGGTGCCTGTTCCACTTCTGAGCTGCACCTCCTGGGCAGGAGCCCCAGCTGGGTTTGCAGCCTCTCAAAGTGTGGATTAGCTCACTTGAAAGAGATTGGACATCTGAAAAATTTGGATGAAGATCTAAATTAGGATTTCTGAGTTCCAGGCATGTGTGGACCTCAAAGGTTGCATTCCCTGGTGGTGTTTGGCAGATGTGTTCAGCTGGTTTCTGCTCTCATGTCCCTGCTCCTTAAAAGCTGCTCTTTGCAGACTCTTCTAATCCTTTTTTTTTTTTTTTAATAGGAGCATCTGTAAGCACTGGATAAATAAAAAGGGAGTGTGGGATGTTGTTCAGCACATTACCTGCTGCCTGAGAGAGATTGTGGAGTAACTCCAGCTCTTCTCCTCTGGAAAATGTCTGTAAATGTGCTCTCACCTCACTTTTTATACCCAAGAACCCCAGTGCCACCCCGTTCCCAGCAGGAGACTTTCCCACTTCTCCCTCCCCAGCTGCAATTTTGGTGTTACTGTCATGCACAAGCAAAGCCCATAATTGGGACACCCGGTGCAGCAATTAAATTCAGCTCTTTTCTCAAAAAGTCATAAAAGTAACAGCTTTGTTTCTAAGAGATTGTAAATCCCACATTGGGATCCCGAAGATCCTGCTGGGAAATGCAGGAGCTTTTCTGTCAGCGAGTTCTGCTTCCTTTAGTAAAAGTTCTTGGGTGAGTCTGAATTTGTTGAGGGTGTGAAATGGGTGAGGAATTGAGCTCAGTCTTTAAGAATCCTGGAATGTTTTGGGTTGGAAAAGACCTTAAATTAATCTATTTCCACCTCTGCCACCTTCCCCCATCCCAGGGTGCTCCAAGCCCCATCCAAGCTGGCCTGGGACACTTCAGGGATGGAGAATCCGTGGTCCAGGCAACACCTCGTGCCCATCTTCATTTCTATCAGGCATGAAGGAAAAACCCTTCAGTGCTCAAACTCATGCCTGTGCTTGCACAAGTGCCCAGAGCAGGTTGAAATCCTCCTCCTTAGTATTTAACTTCAGGTGCCTTGGTGTTCCTTGCTTTATAAAAAGCCAGGTGGGATTAAACTGGACAAATCTATGGTTGTAAATGTACTTTGCTGGTGTCTCTGGTGTGAACAGGATCCCCAAATCCTTTTTAGAAGGGCCTGGAGTGACAAGGACAAGGGGGAATGAGTTTAAACTGACAACAGAGAAGGTTTAGGTTGGGAAAAAATCTATAATTTGGGTTTATATTAAGACAAATTTCTTCCCTGAGAGGGTGGGGAGGGGCTGGGATGGAATTCCCAGAGAAACTGTGGCTGCCCCTGGATCCCTGGAAGTGTCCAAGGTCAGCCTGGAGCAGCCTGGGACAGTGGGAGGTGTTGGGGATGGAACTGATGGAAATGATCCTTAAGGCCTCTTCCAACCCAAACCATTCCACGATTCCTTATTTTTCAATCTTGAGAGTTTGTGCACTGCAGGTTTATAAAGATTTATTTGCATGCAGGAGTTAATTCAGTATTTTTGACTGCAGAAATTGTAGTTTTTGCCCACCTGGCTGCTCCTCTGCCTTGCTGTGCACTGTTCTGTGCCACCTGAATGTTCTCCAAACTTCCTCTGTTCCAGCTGCCATGACCTCTTGGAGCTTTAATGGATTAAAGTCATTTAATGAGTAAATAATTCAGGGAGGATTTGGTGACTCTCTGCAGAGTCACTCTTCCTGCCCCCGTGCTCCTCCCACTCCCAGCAGGGGCAGCCAGCCCCAGCTCCAGCTCAGCTGCTCAAGCTGTGAAAAGTTTGGGTTTTAAGAGCAGAAATGTTCCTGCTCCTGCCTGGGGCACGTGGAGTCACCCAGGGATTTCCCTCCTTCCTTCCCCAGGGATTTCCCTCCTTCCTTCCCCGATGAGCTCTGCAAAAATGAGGGTTATTTAAAGGTAAAAGCAAAGTTGGTTTGGACATTTAAAGAGAGCTTTGCCCAATAATTGCACCTCATTATCCACCACTTACCCTGGCTCTGAACAGCTTTGAACAACTCCTTCTCCACAGGTTTCTGGTGCAATCCACATTTATGATCCTTGGGGCCCTTCCAGCTCAGAATATTCCATGATTCTCTGACTATTCTGCCTCCAACTATTTTATTAAGCAAATATGAAGGGTGGGGACAAAAAGACTGAGAAGGCTTGGAGAAGAATAACAAACAAAAAACAATCCCATGCAAATTCATGGCTCAGAACCCCCACAAGCATAGTTGTTTTTCCAACAGGTATTTTATGCTTAAAACTAAAAAAAATTCTTGTTCTTCTCACATAAGCCAGGAAAGATTTGGGGTTTTATTAAAATGAAGACAACTAAGCCACTTTTTCTTTCACACTTTTTATTAATGCAACTTAAATTAGCTGGAACCTGCAAATTCTGCACAGGGCTTTTCACACAGCTCTGTCCTGGCAAAAGAGGTACCTAAAATCCAGCTGTGAATGATGGTGCCACATGCTGTGATTATTCCATAGTGCTTCAGTGAAAGTTCAAAGAGATTTTATACACAGTGATTATGAAAATAGATATATATATATATTTTTCCCATACAATAGTTTTACTTCTGCCAGCTACAAAATATGATAAAGAAAAATAATTCATTTGTTTCTCTAGCCCTAGGAATCTTCTTCTACTGCAACAGACACAACATTCCCACTGAAAGCCATGAGGTGCGAGAAAGGACTCCAAAGTCACACTGGAATATTTCCCTGGAATCTACAGGTCATTTCTCCAAGGATCTAGTGTTGTCCTAGAGCCTGATCCAGAGGGATCTGCAGGAAATAATCCCAATTCTGAACCTCGTGGCTCTGGGATTTTGAGCCTTGAAAGCTCACGTCACTTGCCTGAGTCAAACCAACTCGAAAAGGAGGGAGAATCCTGCAATTCCCCCCAAACACATCCTCTGCTGACCCTCAGCCATCTCTGATCCTCCCAGACTGGTGGCAAAGCAGCATTTTTGTAACAACAACTGAGACAAGACGACAGAAATTGCACTGCAAGGGAGAGACAACCCCCTGAAGAACTGTGGAACTCCCACTGGTTCTTATTCTTCCTTTGTATTTCTACAGTAACAGCTTGATTTCTTTAAATTCAAGGTTAGTTTTAACTTTGGGGTGGTTTAAGCATCTGAGGTAAGTTCTTGATGCACCTTTTTTCTTTTTTTTTTTTTTTTTTTTTTTTTTTTTTTTTTTTTTTTTTTTTTTTTTTTTTGGTATAGTTTCTTCATGTGCTTTTTGATTGTGTGTAAAATAAAGGTGGTGTGAGCTGAGAACTCCGTGGATCCTACAGGGAAGCAGCTCCTTATCCACAGCAGGGGTGCTGAGGCCTCTGCCCTGCACAACTCCCCCAGAGCAGCTCCAGCTGCTCTTACACGGGCACAGCAGGGCTGGGAGGGCACCTGGCCCTGGGCAAAATGCGTTTACAGCCACCTGAAGCAGCCCAAAGAGAAGAGGAAGACCCAGCTGGGAAAAGGAGGATGCCCAGGGAACTTTCAGGGAGTCTTTGCATAGTACATGGAGGGGAAACAGGGAAAGATTCACCTGCTGAGGTGATGAGGGGAGGGCAGAGCACGAGCTGGGGCTCCTCAGCCTCTCTCTGCTTTGGTGCCAGCTCTGTACTTCCTGCATTGAATTCACCACAAAAAGTGAAAACACTGCAGGAACTCCAGCCTGGTGTGGTCAGGACATGTGAAAGCAGGATTTTTCTCACCAGCTGTGACTGACAGTGCACCTCCACACTCATTTGGAGAGGATTAATTAAAGATATCCAATTTCTGAGCAGGGATGTTCCCATCAGCTTCCACCCCAGCAGAGACCTGAGCACCCCCTGGGGACGCCGAGCCACCCCTGGCATGGATCCAGACTGCAAATACACCTGTAAACCTCAACTTGGTTGCTACTGTACAGGAGTAACATTTTCTATTCATATTGCAGCTACAGATCTAATAAATAGAATTGCATATATTGTGCTTTATAAATTAAAATGCATTCCAAAGTGAGGCAATGCTAAATAATGAAACCATTGAACCTTTTCCCCCCGAAACCAGCCAGACTCTCTGATTCCACCACCACTTCCTCACTCTGCTCACAGAGGTACAAACTCTCTGCTGGTACCTCTGAAAACAAAAATTCCCTCCCCAAAAGTGACCAAAAAGAGTTTACCTAGGCACTACTGCAAATGTAAGGTGGCTAATAACCATGACTTGAACTCAGGAAGGGGAGGAGGTGAAGAAAGTCACGATGAATGTTTGGATTCCTTCCTTTTCAGTGTCTTCTGGCCCCTATCTGACACTCTGGGACATGTGCAGGGGTGTCAGCATCTCCTCAAAGATGGCTCCTTTCACGTTAGATCCCCTCAAATTTGCTTCTTGTAGGTCACAACCTGACAGATCACAATTCTGAAAGGGGGAAAGGAAAAATAACGTTAACTGAATAGAGACAGAACTCTGTTCAAAAGTTTAACTCCATTTCCCTTAACTCCATTTAACTTTGTAGCTGGAGAAAAGCCAGAAATCCCCCAAATTACCATATTTTTGTACATATACTTATGTTTATGTCCAGGAAATGAAGACTAACTCATCTCCAAGTATATTTATGTCCAGGAAATGAAGGCTAACTCACCTCCAAGTCAGTCCCTGCCAGCGTGGCTCCTCGGAGGTTGCAGTTCTTGAGTTTGGCGTTTTTCAGCGTGGCCACTCGGAGGTTAATCCCGGTCATCTGACTGCCCTCCATGTCCACACCCTTCAGGTTGGCACCTGCAACACACCCACAGGTCAGGGGTGTGATGGAAAAGTCTCTCCTCCAAATGGTGATTTTCTATCTTTTATATGGTACATTACATGTTACATGTTCAGTTTTTCCCAATGCCTATTACCTATATTAAATGGTGCCTTTCTACTCTAAACCAATCTGTGAGTGCCAACATCACCAGGAACATGGAGGTGAGGAAGGAGAAAGAGGGAGGACAGGGCAGGCCCAAATCCCAAATCCATCTTAAACCCTCTGACCCCCACGTACAAAACCAAAACCCCCCTGTACAGCACTCAGAAATTCTTCCCTCTACTTTGTGACTACTTCTACTCTAATATCTAAACTTTTGTGACTTCTTGTTCTTCCTGCAAGGTTGGTAAATGATTCCATGGCTCAAACCCAAAATCACAGCTGTTTCCAGCTGCCTGCCAGGGTCTCAAATGCTTCTGACCTGAGCCTGGAACCTCCAGAAATGTCTGAGGGACATTTGGAGTTCCGACACACAGGGAAAGCAGCAATGCAACAGCTCAAGGAGATGCTTCCCAAGAGGTGGGTCAACTGGGAGAGGCCAAGGCAGAACTGGGAATTTAATTATTTTATTATTTGACAGAACCAGAGTTGTGGGCTCTTCCCACAGACTTTACAAACACAGCTGAACTTTTGCCCTATCAGAGTACAGGCTCAGGGCTGGTTCCAGGGAATAATTAACAGGCAACAACTTACCTTCTAAATTAGCTTTAAGGCCTGATGGATCTTCAAAGTTGCAGCCCTTCAGGGATGCTCCCTCTGCGTTGGAACACAGCATCTTCACCCCCTGCAGGTTTGCACACTGGCAGAGACAGGATGTGAGTCACGAGGGTGTCAGGATAAATACCAAAAACCAGCAGAACACAGACTTAAATTCTGCACTGCAACTGAACCCCCCAAAGCACAACTGTGAGGAAGTGAGCACAACTGTTACTGTGAGCAAGTGTGGGAGCGCTGCAAGTGGAACAATCACAGAAAACATTGGGAAATTGATTATTTTTTTTTTTTTGTTCCAATTCCTGTTTTTTGAGACAAGTGCAGGGCAGCCCAGGCTGCCCAGGGTGCAGCATCCTTACATCCAGCACGGATCCAGAGAGGTCAGCTCTCTCCAGGTTGGCACAGCACAGGTTGGCATGGGCCAGGTTGCAGCGGCTCAGATTGGCCATCTTGAAGTTGATGTAGCGAAGATCCAGGCGGGAAAGGTCAGCTCCACTGAAATTCAGACCCTGCAAAAGCCAGTCAACACCCCCAGAATGGTCACAGAAGGGAAGGGGGAGGTCTGGACACAAAAGAATTAAAAGAAACACGTCTGGGTAGTTGTGTATATAAATCTATACAGACAAACACACTTCCAGTACCTTAAAGGAGCTGATAAAAAGATAGGAGAGACATTTTATATGGACAGAGATTGCCAGGACAAGGGGCAATAGGTTTGGAGATCAGGTTTAGATGAGATATTGGGAAGAAATTCCTCCCTGTGAGGATGGGGAGAGGCTGGGATGGAATTCCCAGAGCAGCTGAGGCTGCCCCATCCCTGGAAGCATCCCAGGCCAGCTTGGAGCAGCCTGGGACAGTGGAAGGTCTCCCTGCCCACGACAGATTGGAACAAGATTATCCTTAAGGTCCCTTCAACCCCAAACCATTCCATGGTGCTAAATAAACACCCACTCACAAGATCATTTACTCTGTTACATAACACCACAAAATGAAAATGCAAAGCTCTCAAAATCTGGACATTTCCTAAAAACAGGCTGTGGTTTTAGACTGCAAGAGGGCAGGGTTGGAGAAGGTGTTAGGAAACAACTGCTGGAGTTTTGTTGCAAGGACAAAGGCTGAGCTCCCTGACCTGACAGCGCAGCTCGGACTTGGTGGGCGTTGCCAGCAGGAATCGGACAAACTCCTTCCGAGAGATGGGGGAGTGATCCTCGGCTGGCTGCGAGTTCTGGGGAGAGGAGGCAACAGGGACACTGAGTTCTGTGTTCCCTGGCACAGCAGGACGTGCCTCCAGGGATTACAGAGAGCAAGGTACCTTAATAGCAATTTCCAGGTGTTCAATGAGGGAGTCGATCCCAAAAAACCTGGCTTCTTCCAAAACCCCTACAAAGAAAGCAGTGCTGGTTATTTCAGAGAACTGCAGATCCAGAGAGCAGCACCCTTCTCTCCCCTTACTGGAGAACACACACACACATACTGGATGTAACTGGGGAGAGAGAGAAAGTTTGCTTGCAGCTAAAAGGAAAAACATAACTCGGACACAACATTTCCAACACCAGCATTAGGTTAAAGAGATCAACTCCAGAATTCCAGATATTAATCCAGTATGGGTTTTTAATGCTCCAAAGAGAAATAACCAGCCTATCCTCATTAAAGCAAGCACATGGAGCTGCACTGCTGAGAATAAATCCACCAAAATTCCCAACCATGGGGATGAGCACACAAAGCTCCCCCTTGGCTTCACCACGGGCAAAGCTTTAATTCCAAGGAGGAATAATTGAGGAGATGTCAGACAGGTAATACCTACCTAGCAAATTAATGCCATCATTTACAATGAGCTGTCCGTGACGCAAATAGTTCAAAATGGGCTCAAAATACTCGGGACTGCGGTCAATGAGGAAAGCTCCTCTAGGATCTTGCTTATTCCCCCAAGCATCTGTTTCCACAACATATATATATATAAAATTACTTTTGATGTAGTGATAGAAGAGCATTTGCTTCAGTTTTCAGAGTTTTTCATTACCAAAGGGGACTGGAATAGCAAACATTCCACTTGGAAGGGCAGTTCGGAGACAGAAGGAAGGAAAAGAGGAGTGAGGGGAAAAATCAGCTTAAAATGACCTTGTTCCTGCTCTGAATAACTGGATTTTTACAAAAGAATCCTGTCTAGGATAAAAGCAGCACTGAAATTTTAGTCTGATTATCTCCCCAAGGCTGCCTCGTGCAGTTTGCTCATTTGCTCTGCTGACAAAACTGAGGAAGATGCAACAAGACAAAAACCTCAAATCAAGTAAACAAACAAAGGACCCAAACTACTCACAATGGATGGGAGCTGTGTTTGCAGCTTGTGAGACAAATGATCAACATTAGGTGGTGAGATGATAAAGAGAGGAATAAAGTTATTAAAAAAATAATTCCCTGTTCTGCTCTGGTACTTTAACACACTTTGCATATTTTCCTTTATGAACAACAGTCTTAGCCTGACAGTGACTTTTACCTACTTTGCTCATTTATTACTTAAAAATAATAAAGTTCATCTCAACATACTCACCTTTGTCTTTGAACATGTGTGCCAACATACTGTCAGGTTCTTTGTTAACCAAAGTGCTCCTAGAAAACAAAAGCAGCCCAACTTTACTTCTCTTTCATCTGTAAACGTTTAAGAATTAATTTCTTGCAAAACTGTGGTGGCAAACATAAAATACAGAGAAAGATGCAGGAATCAAAGACCTCCTGCTTCACAGTAAGTTACTTTTTAAGGTATTTTGCTTTATTGGAGTTTTTGAAGACCATTTTTACCGGGTGGTGGTGAAATATCTGCCGCCCACATTGAGAGTCAGCCAGTCTGTGTGGGACCCTGTCAGCTCCTCCTGAGCCCTCCCATCAGTCTGAGGATCTGCAGAGAAGAAACAAACTAATTACTGGAAAAATCCTTAATATTCTTTAATTACAAAGAGGTATCTTCTGAAAATACCAGAAAATAAAATCTTAAGTTCATATGAATGCAAAATAAACTCTATTAAATAGGTTTAATAAATAATAGAAGGTTTAAAAAGTAAGAATTACAGACTCACCAATGAAGGGCTCCCCTTCACAGACAAACAAAACATCATCATCCCTGAGACAGGAGGGGGCAGAGGGAAGAGAAAAAGAAGGTTAATCATACTTAAATCGTAATTTATTGTTCATCTAATAGATAGTGGAACCTCTCCTGATTATTTCAGGTAAATTATGACCAGTGGCTATTAGCTGAAATTTCTTTATCTATTTTTTATCCGTATTTTGAAGGTTCTACTGGATTGGAATGGACTGACCTCACCAGAGATTTTATCTGCAGCAGCCAGGTAGGGACCACTTGTGTAATCAATTAATTCTTACAAAATAGTTGCTTTTCTCTCCGGTCTGGGACTATTCTGTGAAGCCAAAGTACTGACAGAATTTGTCTCTTTTACAGAAATCCCCCCATTGCAGGGCTCACTGGAATAGTGGGGATTTCACAGCACAACCATTGCCCTAGAATCAACACAGGAGGAGGTGAAAAGGCCTCAAACACAGCTTGTATCAAGTTCTGACTCAATAAATGGTTTGAAGTTAGAAAGACACAAAGCACCTTTGGGCATCCTGGCTGGAAATGATCACATCTGGTTTTAGGGAAAGCACTGGGTATGGATTAAGGAGGATTAACAGGTTAGTCTCTTAATCCACAGCTCTGGTTTGCCTTTTCCTGGCTGAGCCTCACCTAATCAAAGCAATATCATCAATGAGTCCCCCTTTCCCGTTGTAAACGCTGGTGGCTTTTATCCCAAGCTTGTTGCTGGCCACAGAGAGCAAATCTGAGAGAGTCCCATACACGGCCACCACCTGGGGGAGGAGAGAAGAGGCTGTGAATAAAAACAAACCCAGCAAACCGCTCCAAAGTTCTGCTACTTCAGATTTCATTGGGGCTATTAGGAGGAGCAAAATCCATTTGGATCTTGACCAAGAAACAAGGGAAAAGCCCAGCTTTGGTGCTGGAACACAAACACAGGGTGGCTTGCACAGCTCCCACCAAAACTCACTGCAACAGCAGGGAGGGAATAAATGTTGGTGCTGGAGGAATGTAATTCAGCTATTTCTTTCTCTAAAGAAACATTGCTGCTTGTGCTGTTCCAAGCCTCTCCCAAGTGTTCTTCCTTGCCTAAACACAGGGATTAAAGGACAGGCACGCGAACTGTCTGCACTCAGGATGTGGATGGAAAATCAGCATCACAGACGTGATTTAGCAGAAGTGCAAGGCTGAAATGCGGCCACATGAACTCCTGCACCCGGGATCGTGGGCAGAATTAATAGAATTACACGTTGAAGCACAGTCACATCGCCGTATGCACTCAGCATGTGGATGGAAACACCAAAATGAACACCACGATCACGGACTCTGTGCGGAACTGCATCCCAGGGCCTTTTCCTCTGCTGGACAAGCACTGCCTGGGCCCAAACCCCACAGTTTTCAGCCCTGAGATGATTTTAGCGAGCTTTTAAACAATTCAGTGCGATTATCCCCAGGGTTCCCGTCTCCCCTCAGAGCCCTCATCCCACAGCCGTGCCCCGCACGAGCAGCCGGACGCGGCTCCCTCAAGCCACCAAAGATCCCCGCCTGTCGCGACTGCCCCCAGCGAGGGAGCTCCCCGCTGCCCCCAGCAGGGCGCGGCTGCCCCGGGAGGCTGCGGGAGGGCCGGGCAGGGCCGCGGGGAGCGGGGCCGGCCCCGCTCCGGCCTCACCTTCCCGTTGCGGGCGCTGCCGTTGACGAACAGCGTCACCCGCCTCATGCTGCGCCCGCCGCCGCGCGACACCCGGAAGGGGCGGGCGCTGACGGGCAGGCCCCGCGGCCAATCAGCGCCGCGCGTCCGCCCAACGGGCAGCGAGGAGGCGGGATAAAGTTCGGCGCAGCAGCCAATCGCCACTAGAAGAAGCGCTGATATTTGCATAGTTCCTCTGTGATTGGTTGTTGCCCGTCACGTGCGCGCGGGCCGTTGAATGAATTCATTTAATCGGTTTATTTCTTCCTCCCCCTACACCGCGGTGCTGCAGCTCAACGGCCCGCGATCCCTCCGCCGGCTCAAAGAGTCCTCCCTATCCCCGCCAGCCCCGCGGACCCCCGGGGCAGAGCAGCGGTGAGGGGTCGCCTCCGTGATCCGTCCTCCTTACGGTGCTACCGGAGCCGGGCTGGCTGCGGCGGGCGCTTGGGTGGGCGGAGGGGCGGGGGCGCGGAGGGATCCGCAGGGGCGTGGCGCGGTTTGAAAGCGTGAGGCGGGACGGGCGTGGGGCTGAGGTGAGGGCGGCTCGGGGGGGAACGGGACCCCGAGAGTGGCCGGGAGCAAGCGGGGGGGGCCGGGGATACACGGAGATACCCGGGGTGCGCTCCGGGATTCCCGGGGGTACCGGCGGTGCGCTCCCGGGGGATGCTCCGGGTGCGCTCCCGGGGATCCTCGGGATGTGCTCCCGGGGATCCTCGGGATGCGCTCCCGGGGGATCCTCGGGATGTTCGCCCGGGGGATCCTCGGGATGTTCGCCCGGGGGATCCTCGGGATGTGCTCCCGGGGGATCCTCGGGATGCGCTCCCGGGGATGCTCTGGGTGTACTCCCGGGGGATGCTCTGGGTGCGCTCCCGGGGGATGCTCGGGATACGCTCCCGGGGATGCTCCGGGTGCGCTCCCGGGGGATATTCGGGATGCGCTCCCGGGGGATATTCGGGATGCGCTCCCGGGGATGCTCCGGGTGCGCTCCCGGGGGATGCTCGGGATGCGCTCCCGGGGGATATTCGGGATGCGCTCCCGGGGATGCTCTGGGTGCACTCCCGGGGATCCTCGGGATGTTCTCCCGGGGATCCTCGGGATGCGCTCCCGGGGGATGCTCGGGATGTTCTCCCGGGGGATGCTCGGGATGTGCTCCCGGGGGATATTCGGGATGCGCTCCCGGGGGATGCTCGGGATGTGCTCCCGGGGGATTACTCGGGATGTGCTCCCGGGGGATGCTCGGGATGCGCTCCCGGGGGATGCTCGGGATGCGCTCCCGGGGATCCTCGGGATGTTCTCCGGGGGATCCTCGGGATGTTCTCCCGGGGTTGCAGGCTGTGAGTGCCCGAGCCCACGGGGCAGTACAGACCGGGGCAGGCCCCGGCTCGATGTTTTCCCCTCCTCGGCTGGTGGCCGTGACTGTGGCCATTGGCTCTGCCGGGGCCTAAGAGCAGAAAAAGAAAGAATAAGAAAGAAAAGGTTTGCCCAGGCGTTGTAAAGCAGATTAATTTCCGTAATTTTATTGCTAAAAGTGCGTGTGTTTGCGGAAGTGAAGTTTCAGAGTCACGTTATTGAGTTGTGCATCATTCACTTCAAGTAACGAACTGCAAAAAAATCTAGCTTTTTAAAGTTTCTACTTAGAAGCTAATGGTAGTTAAAAAGTATTTATTACTAGTGTTGTTTCTTCTGCTGATTTCTTTCTAACACTTGCATTCTCTTTCTGCTGCTACTAATTAGTGCTATTAAAAGTAGTATGAAACTGCTGATATTTATTGTAACACTTGGAGCAAAACAGTTGCAGTGTAATTGTGATAATTGTATATTGTACGCATATTTTATATTCATGTGGAGTTTAACAGAGTGAAATCACAGCCTTGTGGCTCCTTACCCTTTGCCACTCCTGTGCACGTTTATAATGCAGGTTTTTATTGCTCTGTGTTTTTCTTTCTGCTCCCTGCCCCTTGTGTCTTTTCCCTGTAGGTTTTAGGGGATAAATTTCCTTTCCCACCCCACTATTAAACACCTTGTCCAGGAAAAATGTGGATTTGGGAGAAGCTTGAGCATGGTAGTGAGTTCTTGCTCTTAGTAAATAAGTTTTTTATTTTCTTTTTAATAGGAATCTGTAATTACAGCAGCAAAGGCTGAGTGGATGTTCTTTCAAATAAATCCCAAACAATGTTCAGAGGATCTAAAACTCCCCTGAAAGTTAAAGAAAACGAGAGTGGCTGTCCTGAACAGAAGGAAGAGGCCTCTTTACCTCCATCAAGAGCCCAGAAGAGCTGCAAAGCGACCAAGCCCAGAGTCATCAGGCCATCCAAGAAGGAGAATTTCACTGATGGGAAGGGGACACGGTCACCAAAACGTGCCTGGAAATGCCCCAGAGGCCCCGAGGAGAGCTCGTGCCAGCCCCAGGGGGCTGATGTGGGCTGGCAGCTCCCGGGGGGCTGCTCGGGGGCACTGGGGGGGGATGTGCTCAGTGAGCCCCCCTTGCCTTTGCTCACCAGGGAGGATTTGTCCAGCAGCCCGGCTGCTCCCTTGGGAAACGCCTTCTCCACTCCTGAGAGGGACCAAGTGGAGGGAAAGCCTGATTTTGGGCTGTCTGAACAGAGGAAAAAACCCGTTGATTTTGCTGCTGTGCTAAATGCCGAGGTTGGGATCGCTCAGGAAGGTTTTGGAACACGACCCACGGGTGAGGCTGGGGTGACAGATGGCTTTTGTCCTTCTCAGAGGGGCTTCTCCAGCTCCTTTAGTCCAGCCTCGTTCCAGAGGCTCTCATTTAGGGCAGGTTCAGGTGAGCAGGGTTTGGATGTGCCCAGGAGCACTCTCAAGAGGTTGTTGTTGCAGCATCTCTACAGGACATGCCACAGACAGGGTAATTATGCAATTATGCCATTTAACTGTTCTGGGCATATCCTACACAGTTAAATGCTCCCTGTGTATCTCTCTCCAGTTAATGAAGCGTCTTGTTTCACAAGGGAGTTGCAAGACAAATTCTGCAAGTGTTGGTGCACACTAACAAACAATTGAAAAGCTAAAAGGCAGACTTGATTCGTGATTATTTGATATACTCAAGGAGGTTTCTTGGGCTGAGCAGGTAATTTTATACCTTAGAATAAGTAGCATTAACCAACCTCTAAAAAAGATTAAATTGCCATTTTAAAGCTTTAGGTATTACAAAATATTTTTGTGGTTTTGTGCTTTGTTTTTCTTTTTCACCTCTCCTCTTGTCCCCTTTTCAGGGCCTTCCCCAACTTCACTGAAATTTAGGAGAAGATCAACCATTGGATTGAGGGGATCACCAGAAAACAACACTCTGATCCGGTACCTGGCCCAGCAGAGGAGCAGCAGACAGAAAGAAGCTTTCACCCAGGTGAGAGTCCTTCCCAAATTCCTGATGGGGAGCTTGCATTCCCCCCAGGAACCACCCAGTGCTGGGAGAAGGGGAGCTGAGTCTTGGGAAGAATCCAGCAAAAGGAATAACCATGGCAGTAATTTGCTGTTGTCCCTTGCTCACCTGATTTCAGGACAAGGGAATGTTCCAGGTTTTGTTTGCACTGCATAGAGGCTGGAATTTCTTCTCCATGTTGAGTTTGTTGATAAATTGTATTTTTTGTTACTTTCCCGTGCTGGCTGCACTTGGGTTTGGGTAATTAAACTGTTGCTCTTTCCAAGTGAAGTCAATTTCAAGCATGAGTGACTTGGCTAATCAGATTTGTTCATAACTTGAACTATCCTGGGCTGTCAGAAAGCAAATTCTAGACTAGAGGAACAGATTAAATGCAATAAAACGTACCAGATTTCTGAATAAAGTTCCTTTTTTTCCTTATTTTTTACTGTACAGATATAATTGCAGCCAGATGAAATGCTAGATCCTTTATATTTTATGTTAAAGTGCAAATACAAAACATTAAACCTCAAATGATGAGGGAAGGAATGCCTGATGGGATTAATTTTGTTTTGGCAGATCAGTCCTTTTAAACCTGCAAATGTGAGGTCGCTGAAGGACAAGATCGATGCTTTCCAAGCCTCCTTTGAATCCCTGCAGGAAGCTGAGGCAGAGGCTGGGCCCTCACACCTGGGGGAGCCTGCCCAGGAAGGACGTTCCTGTAAGTTGATTAAATATCCTGGTCAGTTATTCACCTTAAATGTCAGCTCTTCCCTTAGGCTAAAAGTGTGAAACCAGAAATACTTATAAAACAAAATCATCTTCCTTTCTAAGGCACGGCACAGGTGTTTGTGCTTGGTTTGAGGTTTGTTTTGTTTGTTTAAAACATCTTCGTGCACCCTGATTAGTGGTTTCTCTGAAAACTCATATTTTTGGGTCTCTTTCCTGAGTTTTAGTTCCTAGATTTGTACTCTTTGATGGATTTCTCACTGAGCATTAATGGTGTTGCACATTCTTCCGTGAAACAGAGAATGGTTTTCATTTTGCTTCTATGTTATTGCTGATCTTAACAACATTTATATGAAAAGAATCTCTTATTTTCTTCTGAAGGTTGGTAATGTTATTTCAAAGTAGATTAAAAAATGTGTTCTCCCTGCCTAGAACATTTCCTGACTTTCTGCACCTCTTGATGAAGAAATATAAAAAGGATTCATTGAAAAACCTGAAATTTGTGTTTTGTTTGGGTTCTGTTTTATTTGATGCAGCCCAGAACAAACCACCTTCTAAAAAAGAGCCAAACCTGGAGCAGTGGACTGAAAAGTTTATGTTGGGCAACAGTGGAGCTGCTTTGAAAGAAAATTTAAGAGCAAATGGGAGCAAGAGCAGCAGGAGTGAGCTCAGGATCTGCAGCATCTTGTCCCCACACCAAGCTGTGACTGTCACTGACCCTGCTGCTGAAAAGGTGCTTTGAACTGGGGAGAAACCTCCAAGTTAGACATTAAAACAGACAATTTCTTCATTTGCCATGTCTAATCTAAGTATTAAATATCTTAAGTATTAATATATTAATATGTCTAAGTATTTAATTAGTTAAGCATATTCTAAGCATTTCCCTGGGTGTTTTGGGAAAATAAATTCAGCTGAAATTGTGGGTGATGGAAAAAACTCTGAAATTCTTCTCTGTGGGATTAAAACCCTTCACAGTTTGTGCTGTTGTAAAAATCCTGGAACTCTTTCTTTAGGTATGGGTTTGTGAGCAGCAAAATCCTGTGAAATCCTTGGACACTGTTGTAACTGGAGATTCCCTGGAAACAGGCCATGGTAAGAGGATTCAGCACTGTTATAATCTTTGTTAAACTCTCATTAGGAAATAAAAATACTGGAATGTTTGTCAGGAAACGTTTCAGCTGACATTTGTCATCTTGTCTACAATTTAGGATGCAGTAGAAACCCAATATAACTTTTTACTCGTGCAGTGCTTCTTTTTACTATATTCTATAAATTTCTGAAAATAGCAGCTGTCCATTTGGCACCAAAAGAGCCAGAATTTACAGACTGGTGGATTTCTGTGAGGTGTTTCTGCAGAGGATCTGTGGAGATGTGTGTGCTTTTATCCTCATGCTTTTTGTACTAAAGTTTTGTCACTTTTCCTGAGACTCTTCAGTGTCACAGCTCTGTTCTTGCCCTGCAGCTGCCAGGTGTGAGCACGGTGGTGCTGCTGATGCTGTGGCAGAGCTCAGCACAAGGAAGGCTGTGGAAGAGGTGAGCCTGGCAGTGCTGGCTGGAAACCAAACCCCTGGGAGCACCCCCAGCACTGAGCTCTCCCTGCCGAGACCCATCCTGAAGAGAACCCCGGGCAGGGAGCTCCGCCACGGCCCCGAGGCTGATTCAGTGCTTGCACCAAGGATGAGCATAAAGGTGCCTTGGGGGACTGATTGCTGTGGCTTGGGAATGGTTTGGGAATGATTTGATGCTGCTTGGTCATCCTTGGGAGCTTTGCTTGAAGCTCTCGTGGCGTTGCACCTTCAGGACCTGAAGGGGTGACAGGAAAAATTGAGACTTTACGAAAGTCTGGAGTGCCAGGACACAGGGAATGGCTTCAAACTGACAAAGGGCAGGGCTGGGTGGGATACTGGGAAGGAATTGTTCCCTGGGAGGGTGTGGTGGGGATGGAATTCCCAGAGGAGCTGGGGCTGCCCCATCCCTGGCAGTGTCCCTGGCCTGGCTGGACAGGGCTTGGAGAACCCTGGGATGGTGGGAGGTGTCCCTGCCCATGGCAGGGGTGGCACTGGATCATTTTAAGCTCCCTTCCCACCTGAACCATTCCATGATTCCACGAAATGGATGTTTTGAGTTTCATTCATGCAGCAAACGAGGATTAGGATATATGACTGATTATTAAATGCTGCTTAGAGGACAATATTTTAATTAAATTTTATTGAACTGTATATCTTAAATTTGACAGGAATACTTAAACAGTGCCACTGACAGAGGAGAAGATGAATCTGCTGCAATCTCCAGTTGTGTAGAAGCCTTTGAAACATTGCAAACAGGTCAGATTCCTTTTTACAAGAAGAAAAAAAAAACTCTTGGCTTTATTTCTTTTTTAAATAAGTAAAATATTGTCCTGATAAAATTTTTGCCTCTTTGCTAAGTCTGGTTATTGGTATTAATCACCACTGAATGACCTCCTTGTGGCATCATGCTGATAACATGGAAAACAAGATTGCCAAGGAAAGGAAAGTCTATAAAAAAAAAATCCCACCACAAAATTTCAGAAAGCCTTGAGCAGCAGAATAGAAGTCCTGATTATTAAAGGAGTTTTATACTTTTCAACTGAAACTTGGGGAACAGGTAATAATTTTTAGTATGTTTCTTACTTGATTTTTTAATAAACCCAGAGTGAAAATCCTGGCTGTCCTCCCAGGTGTTTTGCTGATTGTTTGGGTGGTGATTTTTAGGAGAGATTTAAATCTCTTGCAAAACCTCTGTGCCAGTTCTCCACTCAACTCTTCGTTTCATTTGATTCCAACAGAGACAACTGACAGTCAGAACTCCAAAACGCCGAAGAAGAAAAAAGTGACTTTTGGGGAAGTTCTGAGCCCTGAAATCTTTGACCAGAGTCTTCCTGCCAACACCCCCTTGCGCCGAGGAGCCTCCCCAGGGCGACCCCTGGGGCAGAGCCCGGGGCCAGGGCCGGGCCTCTCCCAGGAGCCTCTGCCCCCCCTGGATTTTGCCTGGGATGATGTGAGTTTGTTGTCTCTATTCCCCGTCAATAATCAATTCTTGCTTCGTTTTCCCCCCCGCCGCTGGGTTTTGCAAAGAAATTGCTGAAACAGAAATGTAGAGTCTGCTCAGAGTTAGAGAATCACACTGAGAAGTTGAGTTTTTAGGAATTCTGAACAGCACTTTGGTCTGCAGAGCTGTTTTAGAAGGTTTCTGGACCTTGAAGTGTTTTCCCCTTCACTTTTTCTTATATTTTGCTGCTGTGTTTCTTTGAAATTTTTTCTTTGAAATTTCTTTTCTTTGAAACAAGAATTTTCCTAAAATTCTTTGCCACACAGAACAAAGTTGCTTTCTCTAAGGAAACAAAATAAAACCACGTTGTCTGCAAACACTGATGGACAAGGTCCATCAAATATCTGCTGTAATTGCTAAGAAATGTCATTTTTTGTCTGAAGGAAGGCGTTGAGCCTCCCCCAGAATTCCTGGAAGGTTCTGTTGCTGCAGAAGCCCCTTCATCTGTTGAAATGGCAGAAGGTAACCCCAACTTGGCTTTTTATCAATAGATAATGAAGCTTTTAGAACCTGAAAATTGAGAGTTGAGGATTTGGTTTATTTTTCTGTTTGTATTTTTTTAAATACATAATTATTAATATATTGCAATTGTGCTAAAACTTGAATGCTAGCATTTAAATTGAAAGGTTTTCTTCTGAAGCTCCTTGCAGTAGCTGCAGTGTTTACCTGAGCTTGAGGTTAACTGGATCTTATTTAAACTTGTCATATCTTTCTGTGACAATTTTACTGCTTAAAGTAATTTTTTTTTAGAGGCTTGATTCTGATACTGTAATTTCGATGACTTTTAAACAGCAACCAAACAACAAAAGCATTGAAAATGGGTTGTGCATATTTATTTTTTGAAAGCTTTGGATGTTGGATGTTCTAATTATTGTTACCAAATCCTCCCAAGTTGAATTTTCCTCTATTTTGTAGAGCAACAAGGAATTTTTATCTTGCCATGTTTGATAGTCCTCAAGATTAAGTTTCTACTCAAGACTAAAATGGCTGAAGTGCATAATGTCAGAAATTACGTAGATAATTTCCTTAAAATGTGATTAACTTGCATTGAAAGTGATTAAAAATAATTTTTTTCCATTTATAGTAGCAGAGACTGACAAACCTGACATAACAACTTGTTCTTCTACTAAAAGGAAGGTGAGTTTCCTTGGTGATGAAATTTATTTTGTTTATTTGAACTTCTTCAGGCAGAATTGTTCTTTTATCCCTCTTGATGCTTAAAAAAGTTTTTCCAGCCTCAGCTATGAGGCTTATCTATATATCCAGGTATATGGAAATACCTCTTGTTAGTACCTTGAGGAAATGAGATTTTTCAGTAAAAGTGATTTTCCAGTTGTTAAAAATACAGCCTGATACTTTAAATGGACAATTTCTATTGAATTTTCCAGGAGCTTTTCCAAATAATGTGACAAAATGTTTTGGTTGCTGGAATTTCAAGGCACGGAATTGATTGTACAAGAAGTGCTTTCAGACTTCAGTGTTGGACAGCTCTGGTGGGAGGGGAAGGCAAAAGACAGAGGAACATAAAAAAGCAACCCATTTTCTTAAATAACTGAAGATGAAAATTTACTGTATTTTCATTCTAATACAAAAAGGACTGGATTGCACTTTGGGAAATGAGTCTCTAATACTTAATTCCCAGTTGTGCCAGCCCCTAATGAGGTGATAAGAGATTAATTCCATTTGATTCCTGTGCCTGGTGGACTCTGGTGGGTTTTGGTGCCTCCAAATCCTGTCCTTAACAGTGCAGGGCCGTGGCACAGGGCACTGATGGGAGCAGCTCAGGAGCCACAAACACTGAGAATGACAAAAACACTAAAAATCCAAGAAGGAGCAAGATTCAGAGACAGAAGGATCCAACCACAACTGCTCCCAAGAAGACCCAGGTGCGTGCCAGCCACTTGCTGAATTCTGCTTTTATTTTTATTTATTTCTCTCTCCACGTGTCTTACAGCATTATTTTGATCTTCCTGTCGCTGCCAATATTTTCTTCTTCATATTTTCTTCTTCATCCCCATCTTGTTTTCCTCCGTTTCCTGGCCCATCCTTTCTCCTTACTGACTTGAGGGATTGAGCTTGTTGCAAAGAGGTGTTTGTGTGCCACTTTTCAGAGTTGAGGGCCAACAAATGAGTTTGTGGTTCTTGCATGTGAGAAAAGTAATTCTTTATTGCTTTTGAGTTTCTAGATTGTTCTGTAGCTGGCAGAAGAAGTGGAGCCTTCCTTTTAGGGGAAACAGTTGTCATCCATCAAAATCCAGTAATGGGGTCACTTATTGAAAAATATTAAAGAGGATGATTAAAATTTCACTGTGTGTTATTCTCTTTCTCAATCTTTTCAGAAAACAAAATACCCTAGCTACGGGAAAAGAAGAAAGAGAAAAGTGAAGAAATCTTTGTATGGGGAAAGAGAAATGGCTTCTAAGAAACCCCTGCTCAGCCCTATCCCTGAAATTCCAGAGGTTTTCTCTTCTGTGTCATCTCCAGACTCACCAAAGGCAGATGCACTTTTCACAGGTAATTTGGGTTTTAGTTTTGTTGTGCTTTGCTCTTTCTGTTCCTTTATATCAACAGTTAAACAAAAAAAAAATTACTTTTAATTGCTTCTGATAGCAGAGTCTGGAGGATCTAATAAATTAATAATATCCAACTGATAAATTCAGTTCTTGTTGGACTCCAGTGTAAATCTGACAAAAAATCCACCTCTTTACTTTGGGTACACTATTTTCCTTAGTCTTTAAGCTGGGTATGAAGAGTTAAGGGATGTGCAGAGCTTTCTGTTGGGTTTGTTCCCCACTGTTCATCTGGGATGGTTGTTTAGAAGGTTATTTTTATATAGGTAAATAAGTATAATAAGTAAAACAATTTCTATATGAAGTGAACCACCATGAAGCTTTTCTTGTAATCACAGAAGATTTTGTGCACTCAGTGAATTAACCGTGTGTTTGCTCCCTTTCAGGGGGTGCCAGCTGGGGTGACCCCCAGCGCAGGGGTGCCTGCAGGGACCCTGCCCAGGAGCCCCAGGCTGGGAGGACGCGTGCCAGGGGCCTCCCTGCAGCTGCCCTGTGCCCAAAGCCCGGGCTCCTGGAGGAGGCAGCAGCCACCAGCTCTGGGCATGGAGACTCTGAGGGGCCAGGGGGGCTGCAGCCTGCTCCTGGCACTGCTCCTGGCACTGCTCCTGAGGTAACTGCTGCCCTGGGGGATCACAGAAGGGATGGATGGCTGGGGGGAAGCCCTGGGAGGGGTGGATCAGGCAGCCTGGAGGCCATCCTTGGAAGGAGGAGTTGGGCATTCAGAACTCAGCTGAGCCTCTGAGCAGCCTGGGCCCATGGCAGGGGGTGGAATGGGGGGTGATCTTCAAGGTCTCCTCCAAGCCTGGCCATTCCAGCATTCTCTGCTTCCCAAGCAACCTAAGTTTGGCCTCGCACTGAAACAGATTCCAGCCTGCAGGATTCTCTGTCAGGTGTTGGGATTTTGGAGACACACGGTAAGAGAATAGGAGCCAGTTCAGCTGTTTGAAACCAGGTTTTTATGGATTACCTCTTGCCTATATTTTTAAAAAATCAATTTTTTTTAATCTCCCCAGTTTTCAAATGCTGTGCCAGATGCCAAAGGTGATTTTGATACATCTGATTATTTCCAGCAGGGCAAAGAGATTCTATGTGGAAAAGAAGCAAAAGAAAGCAGTTCCTTGATAGAAAAGGAAGAATTACAAGGAAATCTTCTAAGTGGGCTGGAAATTCTGGAGCAACAGGATGTACAGGAGGATGCCCAGAGAGCCAAGTGTCCTCAGAAGGATTCTGTCAGAGGTGATGCAGCAAGGAGAAGAAGAAGAAGCAGCAGTGCCTTTTACTTCCCTCCTGTTGGAAACTTGGAAATAACTGGGGCTGATGTTGCAGTTTGCTCTTACAGTGTGGAAGAAGTTCTGTCAGTGCCCCAGGGGCAGGAGGGGTCCCTGCAGGCCCGCAGGAGGAGGAGCAGTGCCAGTGCTGAGGTCAGGGTGAGGCGCAGCATGAGGCTGAGCAGGGATGCAGCAAATACGGGACTTGCGTGGATTCAGCTTCCCAGTGAGATTCCCAAGCAGCCTCCCCTCCCGGCTGCTCCCAAAGCCAGGAGAAGCAGCAGCACATCCATCCTAGCAGGAGCTGAGAATATTCACCACAAGGAGCAAAACCTCCTCCCCTTGCCAGCCCCAGGGAAGGAGAATGAGGACTCTGCTCCTCCTGCTGCTGCTCCTGGCAGGAGGTGGAGGAGGAGAAGCTCCTGTGAAGCCACAGCTCAAGAAACGCCCTGGGCTCCCACCCAGAGAAGGAGAAGCACAAATTCTGTGTGTGGGAAGGGCAGGAGTGACCAAAAACACTCGGAAGCAGCAGAAACTCTTGAGCTAAGATTGAAAGATGTCTCAGGCATCTCTGATTTTCTGAAGTGAAGGTGCTTCTTAGAGCCTTGTGTTGTCTCTCAAGTGCAGTTTTCTTTCCCACTCGTATTTCCTCACTTACCTTCTTACTCATTTTCTGGAAAACTCAGAACTCATTTGCCTTGTCTTGATGCCTAAAATGCTTGAAGATCTGAACTGTGTGGCGGACTGGCTTAGAGCATTGGTCTGGTACAGTTATGGCAGGTAATGAAGAGAATTTAAAAATTCTCTCTGATAAATGTGGGCTTGTCTTTAGCAGTTAAACCACCGAGTCAAATGTGTCCTTCCAATTGCTCCAAGGGTTTGTTTCCCATATGCTTGACCATGCCCTACAAATTGCTGTTGAAATCTGCAAATACTTTCTTCTAGATTGCAAAAATACACTAAAAAGAGATTGTCTGCAGTGAACGAAGGAGTCACTTCTTGAAAGGGAAGGGGAGGAAGTGAGGAACCTGGTTCTATCTTCTGAAAAGGCTTTGGGCATGAGCAGAGGTGCAGCTCCTTAGAGTAAGATTTTGTGTTAGAGTTCATGAATTATTCTCTGATGTAAAGGCTGGTCATTAAAGAAAAAAAAAGCTTTTAGATCTTTATTTGTACAAAATTCATCTGACACATGAAATTGGCTGAGGGGAGAAGCATTCCTCACCAGGAAGGCTGTGCTTCATTTCCAGCCCTTCCCAGCACTGTGTGTGTGTGTCCCATCCCCTGCTGGCCCTTGTCACCTTCCTGTTTTTTACTGCTTGGATCAGTGGAATAAAGAGTGAGGACTGCAGGTGCTCTGCTCCAAGCTTTGCTGCTGCTTTCATTTTTCATCCTGGGGTGTTCCAGCCCAGAGAGGTCCCCGTGCCAGCCTGGAGGAAATGGCTTTGTGTCCAGCACAGTCTCTTCTGTGACCTGCTTTTTCCCCTGAGTGATGTGGGATAAAACCCTTTATGTACTTGGCTGCTTTTATAGAGCTTGAAAGCAACCAGAGCAGTTGGAATTTTATACCACTTTCTCCCCAGACAAGAATTCCTAAAGCAACTTGAAAGAAACTCCACTATTTAAGTGCTGTTTGAGTTACAGAATCACTGGGGTTGGAAAAGAGCTTTAAGATCAGAGTCCAGCACTGCCCTGTGGCCCATAAACCACGTCCCCAAGTGCCACATCTCCACGTCTTAAATCCCTCCAAAAACAGTTGCCTGAATGTTTGGCTTGGGGATTTGCTTTTGCGGAGAGTTCCTGGGTTGGCTGCTGTGCTTGGCTGCCAGGAGAGGGCAGGCTGGGCTGAGCTTTCTGCTTGGAAGGGACCTGGAAAAGAACATCGTGGACAAAATCAGAGAGGCTGGCTGAGGTTATAACGAGAAGCTTAAAAAATTAGTAAAAAATAGCTACTCCTTTTACTGTTTACAACAAAGAGCAACTGAGCTGTGCACTGGAATTAAACTGGGAAAGTGAAATGATGATGGAATTAAGTGTGAGTTTCATATGGAAATCACTTTGTGCCTGAACAGAGTCAAGTCTCTGTGCAGCTTTAGGTACCAAATCCAGCACTGAGCGCCACTGGGGCTCTCACATCCTGAACATCAGCCTGAAGAGTGAGATTGAAGAGTTGTCCTGGAGGAAGAGACAAATTGATGGGTTTGATGCAAGAGGGTAAATCCCAGCTCTGCCCAGAGGGGATGGAGTCCAGCCCCAGCAGCACAGGGAGCTCTGCCCCAAGGTTCCCTGAGTGCAATTCAGCCAGGAGGTGGGAGAAGAACAAGGGTAAGGAGAGGAAAACAACAAAGCTTGGATTTTCCTCCTGGCACAGCTGGGTGGAAAAGGGTTGTTAGGAATCATTTGTGGATCCTTGATGGCAATGGCAGGAAAGGAAGAGGTAGTTCTTTCCAAGAGATGTGTCTACTTCTTTATGGTGCTTTTTAGTTCCTTTTGTCCTTCTCTGGATAGAATTTATCCTCAAAATGTTTTCTTAATCTGGAGAGGATTTGAAGACGTCTTCAGCTGTGCAGAAGGTGCAGAGGTAGGGGGCAATAATCTGTTCTCCACATCTGCACTGAGAAGGACGAGATGTGTTTTAGTCAGAGGAAAAGGTCTCTGTTGAACATTAAGGAAAAGTTCTCAGAGCAGCAGTGGCCAAGCAGGGGAACACAGGGCCCGGGGAAGTGTGGAATCCCCATCACTGGAGCCTTCAGGAACAGATTAAACAAATACCTGTCAGCAATGACAGATGATCCTTGCTGGGGTAGGGATAGGCCGGGGTGGCCTCTGGAGGCTCTGGCTGTGTTTTCTGATCGTGGAGATTCAGGAGCTGCTCTGGGGCTTGCTGAGCAGCCCAGACCTGGGAGGGAACCGTGGTGGAGCTGGGCAATGGCTCAGCTGGGGGAGCTGGAAGCTGGGAGAGCTCCTCATGCAGCAGCTTGGGGCTTTAAACACCCAGATCTGCCTCCGAGCAGGAGCTCACCAAACTCCTGAAACTGTGGGACCTGCACCCACACAGGGGGTGGGAGCAGCAGTGTGATTCCATCGTCACCTCTGCTTTTCCAAAATCAACATTTCCCTCAGAACGACCAGCAGCTTCCCTCTCCCTGTGCCCTCCCTGTGCTCTTCTGGAGCTGGGTCTTGTCGAAGTGGCCCTGCTGGAGGGTAGGGAATGAAATCAAGGTGTGTGACAGCACAGAGGTGTCAGGACTTTTTCAGTTTGTGGTTCTGCCTGAAGGACATTCCAGTGGTTTTATCCCATTTTGACGTGCTGAGCTCCAGCTCAGGCCATGTGTTATAGTGGCATCTAAATAAATCCATGGCATTGCCATTCCCAAAGCGAGGCTCTTCTCTCTTTGGAGGGCTTTTATAAAGATGAATTTGTGTTTAAAAGTACTTCCCTACTTTAATATGTGTGGCCTTAAATGACTTCAAGCAGGTACAAGCCAGCCCTGGGTGTGGATTGGTGAATAATTGCATTTAGCAGCTCTCCACGTAATTGCTGCTGTGACTGGCAGGGAGGACAAGTGCTGGGGCCTGGAAAAGCTGATTGTTTTGCTGCTGTGTAATTATGATGTTGTTAATAAGTAAGAGTAATTACACATCGCTTTTGTGAAGTGCAGTGGTGATGGATTTTCAGAGCTGGATTTCCGGCAGCTATTTCACAGTTGGGAAAATCTCTGGTTCACTTTGCTCAAGGTACAAAGAACAATCCTTATCCCTGAATTTTCCAGGAGGTTTTCAAGGGAAAGGGTTAATGTTTCCCAGGAATTATTTTATGCCAATATTTTGCCTTAATTAAGGTGCGCATAAGTTATAAAAGTGGGGATGAGATGACCAAATTTCTCCCATATGAGTTCATAAAAGTTGAAGAAGTAAAAGTTTTCTCATCCTGACCTGATAAACAGGGAGGGGGAAAAAGAACTGTATATGCCATTTTTATTTATTTCACTTTAAAATAATTGTAAATAAATCTGGTTTTCAGCTGATTTTTTTCTACTTTATCCTGACTAATGGGCAATAGAAAATGCTGAAACACCTGAGTGCTGCCTAGAAATGTCACTGTGGTGGGTTTGTCTGGGTCAGTTGTTCAGAAATGTTTAGAAAGTTTATGCTCGACTCTTCCTCCTCCTCCTCACTGGGAATCCTCTCACTCTTAGACCTGGTGAGACTTTAGTGATGAGCAGGGAAGCAAAGAGCAAAGGATTGTTAGAGCTGAGGACAAGGAGTTGGAGAAAGGGGGAAATTCCCCTCAAAAATCCCAGAATAACGAGGTTGGAAGAGACCTCCAAGATCATCAAGTCCAACCCATGCCCTGACACCACAACCAGACCAGAGCACCAAGTGCCAAGTCCAGTCTTTTTTTAAACCCATCCAGAGATGGTGATTCCACCCTAGGAAGACAATTCCATTATTTTATTATTCTTTCAGTGAAATTTTTTTCCTAATATCCAACCTAAACCTTCCCTGACGTAGCTGAGGCTGTGTCCCACAGGACAGGGATGGCTTCAACACACAGGAACCAAACAGGCAGGGGAAGAAATTGCATTTTGAAGCTGCCAACAGGTAGGTAGCACTGGAAATAAATAAAAAATAGTAGGGTATTCCTTCAACACGCCTTTAAAGTGAGAAGCAAAATCAAAATGTTTTAAGTCGAAAATGGTCCAGTTTCCCCGGGTCCCAGTGGAGGAGCTGGGCCTGTGACTGGGAGACAAGCAGCCTAATGTATTAGTTTAGTAATTAACTCCTGTAAATTGTGCATAACAGAGCAATTAACTACTTTAGGCGGGCTTGGGAGGGGGGAGCAGGAAAACCTGTGTGCTGTGGGAGTGAGGGCACGGGATGGATTCCCTAAGCCCAGCCTGAAAATCCTGGTGTTAGTCTTGGTTTTTTTCCAGTGACCCCCTGACTCCCATCTTCCTGCCCCCTGCCCGGATTCGGGGCTGGTCAGGCAGCTCTGTTTTTGGAAGGCAGAGGAGACAGATATAATGAATGGCTTTTATTGTGCAATATTTCAACCCCTTTTTGACTGCCTTCGGATGGGATGGAAAATGTTCCACCCCGCGCCGCAGCCAAGATAAATAAAACATATTCCCTGAACCTGGCTGTGTGTTTCACTCAAACTGGCAGTAGTCAGAGCTCCACTCTTAAACAAGAATTTAGTTTGACAATTCTTAGGCCTTGTTCAGCTGAATGTAACAGCCAAAGAAAATACTTGAGGAAAAAAAAAAATTAAATACATGTATTTACAGCTTGCAGGTGGCATTAATTTTTTTTGGGGTCAGACATTTTAGGTTTAAGGATCCCTGTACAGTTGGGCTGTAGTGTAGATTTTTAAAAAACATTTTTAATTGTTATTTTTTTCTTTTTAAATTAGTTTTTTTTATGAGAATAGTCACTCTGAAGGAAAATACATTTTATGTAGCTCCCTGACGGGTGATAAACTGTTGTGATTCAAGGCTTTAAGAGTTTAGGGTCTACCAAAAACCTGAAAAATCTGCAGCCACAAGCCCCAGCAAAGGAGCAGTAAAAGCTCTCGACAGAATCCTGCA